TACACAGCCTTATGCTGGTTTACTGTTTGCACATTGAGAGCCGATGTACCTGAGTCTAATTCCTCGTGTGTCCGTCACACCTGGCCAATAAAGCTGATTCTGATTCTGATGTAAAAGGCCTCTGTAGTAAAAGTCCTGCATTCAAAATTATATTTGAGTAACATTAATAAAATGTACTTAAAATATCAAAGATGAAAGTTATTTTGTGAAATGGCCCCTTCACAATAGTAAATTCAGGATCCCCAGGGTCCTGAAGGATTTGTGTTGTTTTTAGTGTTATGCACAGAGGATACATCATACCTATACCATACCATCACTGGTATGGTATAGGTATGATGGTATCATATACCATCATACCTATCCTACCTATACCATACCTATACCATACCATCACTGTACCTGTGATGGTATGGTATAGGTATGATGTAAAACTAGTTATATTTCAGGGCTTCAGGAGCTCTCCTGTTACTCCACAGGTCTTCTTAGTAGAATATGTAGATCCCAGCATAATTAACCCGAGCAGATGTAACGGGCCACAGGCTGTGCGGGTGTTTACGTCAGGTCTTTAATCTGCCACAACGCTTCATGCCAGACCAGTAAGCAGTTAAAGAGTAATACTGGTATCAGACTAAACTAAACCACAGGAGGACTCACTCCCAGTAAGGGACCCCTGCCCAGCACCGTCTGCCCCGGCGGTAGGTGGATCGGGTCCCCGCCGTCCAACGGGACGAGGTCAAAGCCGGACATCTGCTCAGCGACGGGACTGGAGGCGACTTCACCCCGGTTCACTGGAGGCACTGGATGAAAATACACAACAAGACAGACCTGTAAGTTATTGTTCAGACATGAAGTTCTGGGAACTAGAAAAGAGAAACGTTTTTAAAGAATCGGGACTTTAAACGATTCTCGTTTCATTCAGTTGCCGTCTGAAGCAACAGAAAGCTGAGTTTAGGTCACGCTGCAGTGAACTTTTACCTCTGTGCACCGACTGAAACGGTAAACCAGGTTATTATTTATCTCCCAGGATTACAACTCAAGCGACACAGCAAAACAACTTCTACTATCTGCTATGCAATTCAAAACTTCCGGGATCCAGTAGAGCATGCGCAGTAGCGTAAACATGGCGCTGTGTAGTTGCCTTCTGATCGATATGAATGTAGGCGCGCACGGGTAAACATCTTATGGGCCATACAGAATTTTAAAATCACACAGTACGTAAACTATTTAATGACTTTATTTACGAAGAAACTCTCAATTCATATGTGTTGGTTCTAACTGATAGGCGTATGAACCTTGTACGCATGCGCACGCAATGAAAACTACGGTGACGTCGTGTGCGTGTGTCAACATCCGTGGAGACATTTAAACAGTCAGCTGTCATACAAGAAGGTGGAAAGGAGCAGTGAAAACTACGGTGACGTCGTGTGCGTGTGTCAACATCCGTGGAGACATTTAAACAGTGACCTGTCATACAACAAGGTGGAAAGGAGCAGGTAAAAGCGGCTATATTAACCACAGATTACCAGCAGTCGTTTACTGTCGGTGTTCCTTTGTTAAAAAAAAAAAAAGCTGGGAAAAGAGGAGGTTTTTAATTCGTTTTTTAGGGAGTAGTTGTTATACGGAGCGCGGGGGAGATCTGTAACACTGGCATCGGTGTCAAACTGAAATTCACACTGTAATGCACAAATTAAAGCTTTAGTTCATCCACAGTGCCATTAGGAAATAAATAAATATGGATTTAAACGGACTGCTACTATTTTGTGTCTAGCTACAGCTACGATTAGCTTGTCTTGTCTTAACCCGTAGCCAAAAGATTTTCAGAACATGAATCATGTAGTAGTGGAGAAATCTACAGAAATACTAACAGTCCGCTTTGCCTCCTTCTGTTCCAGTTTTTGTTTTGTTTGTTATTTTTATTTTTGGAAAACATAAAACAGTTATCCTGTTTGTGATGATCCGAGCACTAGAACGTCCCAGGGTTTTAATTAAACCTTAGAAATCCTCCTAATTTGAAGGTAATCCTGAAACAATGCAGCTGGACACCTGAAATCAAGTTTCAAATGTAATCAGAACAATACAACAGTCCATGGCACTTTTTTTTTAGCAGAAACCGTCCTTCAGTGATGGAGTCTTAACATTTCTGAGAGTTACAGCTGTAACATCTGTTTGGGGCTCCTTCTATTACAGCCTACAGGTCATGTGACATTATCTGCACTATCATCATTTCTTTCACTTTGCTCCAACACTCCCTCATCTCTCTGTTTTCCCAAGTGGTTTCAAACTGTTGGACCTGGAGCTATTATGCAGCATGAGCCCGTCAGGACCTCACCTGTGGTTTTTGTCTGTGAAAGAAGACCCTCCATGATGTCCTCCAGTGACTCTGCCCCTCAAAACTTTGCTGAAATGCTGCCGACAGAGGTTAGTGTGAAGATCTTCAGCAAACTGGATGCAAAGAGTCTGTGCAATGCCTCACGGACCTGCAAGCTGTGGCATCGCATCATCGAGGAGAGCGAGCAGCTGTGGAGGAGGCAGTGTCTGCAGGTCTGCGTTACGTGTCAGAGGGAGGTGGACAGTGACAGGAGGGACGGCCTGTCCTGGAAGGTGGGTCAGACTTTCAGTTAAAAGCCAACACAAGAGCACACAGAAGAAAGGTAGGGAGCTGGTCAATAGAAGAAAAGACTCGTTCAGTCTCCTCAGTTTGTGCTGAGTGGCTGCCAGTCCCAGCTTTGTTTGTGATGGTTTTAAATTTTAGACATCTACACTGGACCATGTTAAATGTTTCCTAATTCAAAAGCTCCCTCTGCTGAGGTGCATCCTGCCAGGCTGGACATAAACTCAGAAAGACAACAGCCAGACAACAGATACATCTGTGCATGTAGCAGCTAAAGTATGAATAAAATGCCACATAAATGCAACATTAATTGTGGTAATTTTGTGTTTTGTGCTCTGTGCCTTTCATACAAGATCGGTTACCAGTCACTTCATACAGAGGCTCTAGCCCACAGTACCCCTGACGTCCTGGGTCCCTAGGCTAGAGCCATGTAGGCCTGGTCACTCATCCATCCACATAGCAAGTGTACAACTGTGCATACAGGTCATCCAGCAGAAACCCCCCAGTTAAAAGCAGTCCTAGTCCTGCAAACATCACTGGAAAGTGTGGCCTTTGTGACACAGACAGAGGCTTGGTCTGTGTCGTCTGTGCGCCGATTGACAGCCTCCTGTTTCCTCGGTGCAGGTGACCCTAATGAGGAACTACACTCGCAGCTGTCTGAAGGCAGACTGGCTGAGGGGACGATACAGCCATGTGCGCTCAGCAGATGAGCTGAGTGGAAGGAAGATGACGCCGCTGGATGCCGAGACGTGGGGGGAGATCCTGCAGGCCGAGCTGGACAGATGACCCACGGCAACGGTTTACTAGCAGTGTTTATTTAAAGATTTTTTAAACATAATATACATTTTATACTCAGTTTTATAAACACAAATAATTGTACATATGTTTTTAAAAAACTTTTTTAAGAAAGGTGAAGCTGTTTCCTGATGTAAATATGGCTGAAATGCCTTAAATCACATCTTTGTGAAGATTATGATGTAGATTTTGTCTTTGAAAACTCAGAAACGGCATTTAGCTGTGTGGAATTAAACAACCAAAAAAAGATTTTGTATTTCTATAAGTGGGGTCAAATTATGGAATAATTTAACTGTGGACATGAAAAATAGTACTAGAATTGAGGAGTTTAAACAGAAATGTAAATGTATGTGTTATACAAGATATATGCTTGCAGCCAATGAAGCATTAATTTTTGTATAATATGATGTCATGGGGTAGGACTGGATAAGTCTGACTTCTTCCTACTCCATTCAAACATGTAATATGTGTAAGCAAACTGATTTTGGATTAGCATTGGTTGGATGTGTGCAATTATGTGTGTTGTTGCCATTTGTTCATTTGTTCTGTTCTGCATGTTTGAAAGAATAAAATCAACCAATCAATCAAAATTGTGAGGCGTTTTATTACTGCACACACCCAGAAAATGTATTGAAAGCAGAAGAAGAAGAAAAGGTTGATTTTTGATGACAGGTGAAAATAGATTGCAGTGTTTTCATATTTTCAGAAGAGCTGATAGAAATAAAGGAAGAAAGCTAAAGCAAAGAGAAAAGAAGTGTCGTGGCTAGAGTGTGATACCGACTAAATTAATTCAGACAAACCATCCCAATTTAAAGGATCATTTAATATTACAACTATTCTGAATAGAGTAGTATTTAAACAGATAATCTAGTAGGTAGGGAAACAGAGAACAGAGACTCTCCTCCTGCAATGTGATAGATAAAGCATAAGAAGATTGTCAGAGCGCCAGTCAGTTGTTGTCAGCCCACAGTCAGTAGTCAGTCTTAATTAAGCGTCCCCCCCAGCCGGCTGGGTCAGCGTCCCCACAAAGTACACGGTTTACTGTCCCACTAGCATTGTCACCCTCTCTCCTTCAGGCTCACTCTTTTATCAGCAGCTGTTGCGTCAATTTCTGAACTTAGCTTCCTGTCCCCAGTTGCGGTAGACAACACCCTGAGATGTACTTCAAAAACAGGAAACATCTTCTCCAACTCACATGAACTTAATGAACCCATAACCACTCAGCTCTCCCTCACACAACTAGTACAAATAATATCTATATGAAGTACATACTGTTCTATTACATATTATCTCTGGAATCTGGTTTATTGTTAACCACCAATAAGCAAAACAGGAAGTTATCAATACACCAGACTCCTTCACCACCCCCAAAACGCACACGCCTCTTCATACGCAGTTAAAATACTCGCATTCACGCACACACACAGTGAACACGCAGACACACACACTGACCGCACATACACAGAGTGGACTACACACACACATACACACACAGAGCAGACCACACCCAAAGCAAAACTACGCAGTTTACCACAAAGTATCTACAGTATATTTTCAGTGTATCTTTAACTTGTATAAACCTTCAATATAACACAATATAAATGTCTTAAGCAAACTTTTTATATGTGACAGAACATGGAGCAATTTATAACATATATACACAACCAGAGAGCCCTCTCACACCTGACCCCAGATTTATCACAGTGCACACACACACACACACGCAGGCCTGCATTCAAACACACTTTAAGTGAGGACTTTTATTTAAATTCTACAAGCGCTTGTAAGTGGGCTTTCACTATAGTTGGCCAACAAAAACCGTGTGGACCCTGCCAGATTAATTGTCA